GAAAAAGTTCATTTTCCGGCGACTTTGACCGGCGGGCGGCGGCGGCGGGGCGTGGAAGAAAAGAAAAGAAGAAATGGGGTCAAATTGAAAATTTTAAAATATATAAAATTCGAATTTGGCCCTAATGACCGGAAGTTAACCTAGAAACGGGCTAATGGCTCATTAGTGAAAGGATTGTGTAAGTTCAGAGATTTTTGTGAAAGGATTTGAAGTTCAGGTACTACTTCGAAATTCCAGCTTGATGGGTGTATTTCACCCACGACCGGTCAAAGGTCAGGACCGGATACTTGACCGGTCAAAGAAGTCAAACTTTGAAGAGAGATTTGAATGGACCACCGAGTGACCAAAAAGTGGACCGGTACACTTCGGAAAGTATACCGGTCAGATTATTCCATCAGCAGGAACCGATTCCGAAGACAATTAATCCAAGCCTTCAGAAATCAACCGGTACAACTTTTAGAGGTCGAGGAGTGTCGGCAGGAGGAGTCCAAAAGGACTTGGACTTTAGTGGTTGGAATTGCAGAAATCCTGGAGGAATATTTCCAAGCCAGAACGTGACAAGGAGGGAAATCCCCTTCGCAAGATGATAAGGCGGCTCAGGGACAGTCATCTCACACCACGTCAGCAACATGCCCCCACGTGGGCGCGCGTGGACCTGTCCCCCAGCTTAGTATATATACCCCTTGTAAACCTCAGAAAGGGGATCCGAATTCACTCTCTCCAAACTCCCTTGTAAAAGCACCCGTGCATTCTCCGTTATAATATAAATCGGGCTACAGGTGTTCCACCTAAAGTCCTACCGGTCAATCTGCGTGTTTTTACCTTTCTTACTTTGCCAAATCGAACAAACTATTCTAGACCCGGTCTAATATAGTTTGACCGGTCAAGTAATTTACACCATCACAGCTAAAGTTCAGGTACCATTTGTGAAATTTACCCTATGCTCTTCACTTAAACTTATTAGTTCAGATATGAATATGTTACTCCCTCCGTCCACAATTAATCTTCCCGCTTTCATGGGGCACACAAATTTAGGTAAAGTGAAAATGTAGTTGACTTTCCCAAATTACCCCTGCTCAACCAGCCTCCCTGCCACCAAACACCTCTCTCGACCGGCCTCCCTAGCTAAATTCTCGTTTGTCTTTCTTCAGCTCATCACCGGCAGCACCAGAAATCAATGGTCAGGACCTCGAGTTTGTCTTCTTCCTCTACGAATTGAACACCAGTGGCCGACAACCATTTATCTCGGTGGACAGAATCTATACAATTTTCAGATCTAACGAAAACAAGACTTAATCGTTCAGATCTGATGAAGAAGAAGACTGGATGACCAAAAGATTGAATGAAAAAGAATACTCAAATCATCATATCCATCCATGTGGATATCACCGCAAATAAGAAGAAAAGAAGAAAGAAAGGATCAAAGAAACACCCGCCAGGTATCTGCCTCCGCCGCCGCCGAACTGGCTTCTCAGACGACATCGTGGTCCGGACCACCTGGCGTTGATATTGGACCAGGTGCTGCTGACCCATTCATTTCCGGGCTAAAGCGCCCTTCGAGCGAAGGTTTGCCTCTTTGCCTCCACACCCCCCTCCATTCGATTGCCTTGTTCAATTCTGTATGATATCAAGTTGCTCTTTACCGTGCGTTGAAGTGATCTATCTGATTGTCAACCTATAGGGATTTGAATTTTCCAGTTGCTCATATTAGTCCTAAAATTGATTAATACAAGCCTCGTTTTAGGCATGATTTTTTGCTATCCTTTTTTCATCATCTTTAACTTCATGAACAATATTGATTTGATTCAGCAACTTGGAGTCAATGTAGGCATGATTTTTTGCTATCCTTTTTTCTGTAGAATGGATTGGCTATGTCCAAATGGTCCAACTCACTAAGATAGGCATAGATTTTTTAGCTCAAGAATGCCTTATACTTGAAATGTTGTCAAACTACCTCTTTTAATGACTTAAAGGCCCTATCCTATTATTGTCAAATGTGTCTCTGCACCGACTTCCTTGGACTCGTTGGGATCATATAATTGGGCTGGGAGGTCTATTTGCCCAAGACTCAACTATTTATTTTTTTATAATTATAGAATAGAATATCCCGAATTATTGATTTTGGCAGTATAGAAAATGTTGTGGAGCATACCCGATGAGAATTCTTCTTAAATATTTTTTTTCTTTAAGTGAATAAATACTCTAGCAATACTAGCAGCAACCAAAAAGGAGAATTGTATCAGGGTAAATTACACTATGACTCCATATGTTTTCCACATTTAGCCTAACACGTATTGTACCATTTCTACATCCCGTCGCTCATTATCTCCGTTTCTACTTCAAGTGCATAGATTTGATATTTTTACACTTTTCATCTTCGTGGACAAAGATCCGTGAAACCTCTTTTAGAAAGTCATTTTAAGGGTACTTTCATCCTTTCAAACCCAATGGTTGGGCAATTCATTTTTACTATCCATTTAGGGTAAGGTCTGTGTACACACACACCCGACCCTACGAAACTATTCTCTCTCTCTTTTTTCAATCACTTACCCTCAACAATGATGTAGTACTCTTGGGTGAACTTCAACTCCAGTGTTCTTGACTATCATTTTGGTATGGTGACTGACTATAATGCTGGCCATAGTTGTGAGAAGCGTGCCTGAGGCGCATTGCGCCAAGGTTAGTGCATCATAGACATGATGTGCACGATGTTCCTAAGGTGCGCGCATTACTGTGCCTCATTGCATTATGCGATGTTAAGTGATGTGCTAGAAGGCCCTCATCCTGAACACCTGAGTCATTATCTTAATTTTTTTAAAGGATTATGTTTAGCTATTAGCGTTATTTTTTATTCCGCCTCACCCTTTACTTCAGCTTATCTTCACGACCCTCAAGAAAAGAAAATCAAACGGCATACAACCATCTCCCTTCGACAATCTCTCTTCTCTTTCTTCTCTGCTTCAACCCTTTTCCTCACCATGGATAACGCTATTGCTTGGGGTTTAGTGTGCATTGTTGCAAACCAACGAGAAGCAGTACAGTGGTCGCAGACTCCAACCCTCCCAGTAAACATATTTTTTTCTTCTTTATGTATTTGTATACAAGGTTCTCTTTCTTTTCAGACAGTTTTTGATGTACATAACATATATTTTCTTCAAATAATTTAATCTATGTCTAGCAGATATATTTTTCATATCTACAAACTGTTTTTTATTTAACCGTTGTTTGTTAAGTGAACTTTTCAGATTTATTTCTGCAAAGACATTGTTCTAGCATGGAAGAATCTCCAATTTCATTTTTAAGGATTATGTTTAGCTATCAGCGTTATTTTTTATTCCGCCTCACCCTTTGATCCTTGTCTTGTGGACCGGACTTCTTAGGGCCCAACCCAATAAAAAAATAAATTAGATAAAAAAGATTTAGACTAATTAGATTTTAATATATTCATATCAGAACTAATAAGTTTAAGAGAAGAGTATATACTCGTATAATTATGTCTCATTGGCTTTCGTCCTAAAATAGTTCGTCTTAAATAGAAGAATAAGTTAAGAAATGCGATATATGTTATTGAATTTTTCATTATAATCCCCCTCCAAGTAATGGAATGATAGCAATAAAGGATCACTTCATAGTAGGATAGGCAAATTGGTTCGGTCACGCTGCGATTATTCGATTACTTTAGGGTAAGGTTACAACAAATTTGGATTATATTATATTTGATAATAAAATACATGAATTTTTTTAGGGCCAATGAAAATTTCCATAAAATTCCATAAAGCATTCCTTGGGATTTTAGTGATCTTTTTTATGGAGTACTAAAAGTGTATAAAATGAAGTGGAAGGTTAACTTTCATTAGGTTATTTGATTAAAAGAAAATTTAAAAGAGGAAATATAAGAGCAATACAACTTTGTGCATAAACTTTGTACACTTAATGTATAACAAACAGACATACAATAACTATTTAATAAATGTTTGTGTGATGCATAGACAAATATTATCCTTATGTCTTTGTGATACACTTGGTGTACAAATGTTGGTGCACCCTTGGCGCAACCTATATAAAAAAAGTGGTTAAGTTATATTGTTTGATTAGATGAAGTGAGGAGAAATAGAAATATTTATTGAAATTTACCTCTAATTACTAACTTGGCACGAAGTTGTTAACCCGGGCCTTCGTGTGAATGATCTCATTGCACATATAGAGGGTGTTTGACACTGCGTTGTTTTTCAGAATTTAGCTTCTGCTTTAAGTGATAATCATTTTATTCTGTTTGGCATACCAACTTCTGCTTTTCTTTACTATCTTTTTGTACATAGAACACCATTTCAGAGAAGCAGGTGTATGGTGCTTCTGCTTTCAGCTTTTGTGAAAATCATTTTACCCACAAGTTCATCACTCCCAAACACCTTCATAGTACTTGATAGGGTATAATGGCACCATTTGATCTATGTAGCCGATCCCACCTAGTGGAGGTGGCATAAGACTTAGTTGTTGTTGTTAAGTTATAATTACTCTTTTAAAAGATTTTTATTTATTTAACAAATTTTTTATATAATTACTATAAAATTATATAACAAATTTATTATAACAAAATACATTGAATAAAATAAATATTGCTTAATTCAGTAAAAAAGTAATTTAAAAATTTTTGCAAGCAAAAATTACTAAGGGGTTGTTTGTTTCAGCCTCTTAATGGTTCAGATGTCTGAATGGTTCAGCACTTAATGGTTCAGACTGTTTGTTTCAGCCTCTTAATGGTTCAGATGTTTGAATGGTTTAGACATTTGCCTCTGAATGGTTAAGTATTATACATAGTCTGAATGGTTAAGACCTCTTATCTGAATTGATCAGACATTTGCCTCTGAATAGTTAAGCAATATACTAGCTCTTAATGGTTCAGACCTCTTACTGGTTCAGCACTTAATGGTTCAGACCTCTTACTGGTTCAACACTACCTATTCAGAAGTTGCTAAACAGCCCCTAAATGTGGGGAGCTTGCTTGATTTTTACTTTCAAATATTGGAAGTTTTTTTCTTTTAAATGGTGAGTGCTTCTTTGGTGCACCTTGGATGCATATCAATTTTGTGGACCTTCTTACATTAAAATATTTTTTTAATTTTTTTATTCAAAAAAACAAATACTTATTTAAGTAGTACAGTCAATCACACAATGAAAATTTGTGTATTTCCTTCCCATTTCTCTTCGTCGGTTACCTTTTTATTCATCTTTCTTTATTTTTTCTTGGGTCCAGGGGCAAATGTTGGGTAGAGGTAGGTTAGGGAAAGCGACACAGGGCAGTTTTAGAGTAGATGATTAATGACAGACGATAGATCTCTCCCATCTCTACCCGCCATGGTTGAATTTTCTCTGCACCAAAAGTTTCCAAGAAACCCGGCATGCATCAAGTTTGTGCACAATGTGCAGTTCAGCCATGGCCATGGCAGCTAATGAAGAAGAAGAAGACAAAGTTACTTATAGGTATTGATAAAGATGACACCTTTTTTCAGTTTTCTTGAACCAAATTGCCAACTACACTAGTAAAATCTTTTCTTTTCCCAGCAAAGAAGACAACTTTTTTGTAAAAAATTAATTAATTAGGATGTGGCTGAGAATGGAAGACTTTGTGCAGGTGGCGCAGTGAGTCTTCTTGCTCTCACCAGAAGAAGAATTTCAGATGCCATGGTCGAGAAAACAGGGAATGAATGGACAGCTTTGGCGCACATAATAACAGCAGTGATAGGGTCAGGTGTTCTTTCCTTGGCATGGAGCATGTCAAAGCTGGGATGGATTGCCGGTCCGATAACAATGCTGTGTTTTGCTGTGGTCACTCTCACCAGTGCTCTTCTTCTCTCCAATTGCCACCGATCCACTGATTCTGACCTCCACACCCATGGCTCTTACCTTGATGCTGTCTGCTCTGTCCTAGGTAAAAACACAGACTTTTGCAAAACCATTAGATCCCATTTTGTAAAATGTTGCTTTGGTTCTATAGTTTATCGCATTTATTGATGATTTCAGATTCTTCTTTGTGCTTGCTTGGACTGATTGTTGTTTTTTTGTTCATTTGTTGAACGAATGAAAGATTTTACTGGGGTTGTTGTTCGTTTCGTGTGTGGGGCAGGAAATAGAAGTGCCTGGTTTTGCGGCATCATTGTTGGGATCAATTTCATCAAGCTTGGAATTGTGTACACAATCACTTCTGCCATTAGCGTCAGGTCTGTAAACAACTGAGAATGATTCTTCACCCTTGGACTATTAGATATTCTGCCATTGGATGAAGAGCTTCTTGATTGCAGAGCAATTCAAAAAGCAAACTGTTTTCATTATGAAGGCCATGAGGCTACTTGTGGGTATTCAAACACGAAATATATGATTATATTTGGATCAATCCAAGCACTGGTGTCTCAAATTCCAGACTTTCGCAACACGCAATGGCTCTCCATTGTTGCTGCAGTCATGTCTTTCACATATTCATTCATTGGATCAGGACTCAGCTTAGCTAAAGTAATAGGTAGTAATTAACCGCACTTCGAAATACTTTATTGTTGATGGAGTTGATCCAACATACCCAAGAATCCACTTCCTGAAATGGAATTTGCAGGTAATGGAGAAATAAAGGGTAGCATTGGAGGGTTGCCTTCTCCTAATCTAGGCAAAAAACTATGGTCGGTTTCAGAAGCACTTGGAAACATTGCCTTTGCCTTCCCATTCTCTGTCATTTTTCTAGAGATACAGGTGCAGCAAGGGTTCACATTCAAAGATATAGCGAATGAAATGTGGCAATCTAATAAAAGTTTGAACTTTTATAAAGGATACGTTGAAAGAGCCTTCAGAAAAGGCGACCATGAAGAAGGCCTCAATAATGGCAGTCTGCACCACCACATTTTTCTACCTGTGTTGCGGAGGATTGGGTTATGCAGCATTTGGCAATGCAGCGCCCGGGAACCTCTTAACGGGATTTGGTTTTTACGAGCCTTATTGGCTCGTCGACTTTGCTAATGCATGTGTTGCTCTTCACCTTGTTGGAGGATATCAGGTACTAAGGTGAAAGTTTGGTAAATGGTAAGTCACAATCAACGTATATCTAATGAAACCCGGTAAAATCCCACACAAAATAAGGTCTGGGGAGGGTGAGTATACGCAAAACTTAACCCTACTTAGAGGTAGAGAGGCCGTTTCCAAGAGAACCCCGATTCAAATCTTGTTTAAACAACTCCATCCAACGCTTCCTAGGTTTACCTCTACCCATCTGCACTGTACCAAAATACAACTACACTCTTACATTCCCACCAGCAATACACAGGTCTAGAAGATATTTAGATCTGATCGGAATGATGATATTCGCAGGTGTTCAGCCAGCCATTGTATGCAAATGTGGAGAGATGGCTCGGGAAGAAATACCCAGAGAGTCAATTTGTACAGAGGAACTATGTTCTAAAACTAAACTACTTTCCAGCATTGCAGTTTAACTTCATGAGAGTGGTTTTCAGAACTGCATATGTTGCTGCAATAACTGGGATTGCGATACTGTTCCCTTACTTCAACCAGGTTGTGGGGGTAGCAGGAGCAGTCAACTTTTGGCCTATAGTCGTGTACTTCCCTGTTGAGATGTACCTAAAGCAGAAAGAGATTGAATTTTGGACATGCAAGAAGACCGCTCTTCGTATATACACATACCTATGCTTGGTTATCATCCTATTTGCCTTTGTTGGTTCCATCCGAGGATTGATCCTTGCCAGGTTCAGCTAGGAGGTCACTACTTGGTCACATCTACTTCCTAGTAAGAGTAAAGTTTGCATACACACATCCTCTTACCGTATTTTTGTGGAATTTTACTGGGTTTGTTGCTATTATAGTTACACATTTACGCTTTTCATTGTGTGACAATGTGTTGACTATAAATGTAATACATAGTTTTTTTAACGTGGAATTCCGATTTTGCTTTCGTTGAACATACATAGTATGAGTTTTTTTTTCTTTGATGAACTGCTGTAACATATAATTGACTGAAAACTCAAATTACATTTTATAATACATTGTATGAGGTTGTGTAACTTTTGGCTAGGCCATTGGACAGAAATTGCAATGTTCTTATGATTATTGTTGTGAGTTTTGTTTTTTTGGGGGAAATTAAGGTTGGTGGCAGATGTGAAGAGAGTGTTGCTCAAAAGGGTGAGTAAAATTCAAACCTGACAGTCTTGGAGGAAAACTGCGTAATGCAGATTGAATAACATTTGTTTTTTAAGAGGCTCTAACGTCACTCCTACCTAACATACCCCATTCACATTTAACTCACATTACTTTTGTGATAAATTAAAAGTCAAATGAATGTAGATATGATGTATGTCCCTATTCATTCAACTTTTTTTAGGACTTAACTTTATATAATTTATCAGCAAGAACAAAGAGCCAATGTTTTTGAACATATGACCTCCTCTTTGGAAGAGCTACGGGCACACAGTGATACCACTAAACCACAAGACCTCTCGCATTCAACTTTTGATATAACACAAAAGTTGGATGCAGTAGAGTACCTACCTCGTTTTGAAATCATCTTCAACTTTTCATTCTTTTTTAGGATAAAAATATTCTCGAGACAACTTGGACTTACTTTATAGAAACTAAACTATATGTCAGCCACCCATTTCTCTCTGTTAACTGCAAATAGTCAAACTATAAACACACACACACATGAGAGAGAGAGAGAGAGAGAGAGAGAGAGAGTTTGACCAGAGGTGTCTTGTGAGTGAGCTACCAAACCAATTTCACACGCCCAAACAGAGTTTGAATTTTATAATGTATTCATGCAGAAGTGATGCTTGTTGTGCCATGGCCACTTCCATCTCCATTTCTCTCCGTATATATAAAATATATATTTACACCTTCCACTGTACCACCAAGTACCAAGAAAACTCACCAATAGATTATAGTTACTGTAATTTTTTTCCCATAAACTACTACCACTACCATCTTTCTCTGTCATCTTTTTTTTTTCCATAGGTTATTTCCTTCTCCTACCGTATTTAATCCATCGTCACCAAACAAGACCTTAATTTCTCAATTCGCGCGTCAAAACCCCTTCCTTCCATACATAAGAATGGGACGAATTCCGTGCTGCGAGAAGGAGAACGTGAAGAGAGGGCAATGGACTCCCGAGGAAGATCACAAGCTCTCTTCTTACATTGCCCAGCACGGGACACGTAACTGGCGTCTCATTCCCAAACACGCCGGTAGGATTCTCCCCTCCCCTCCCCCTTTTCCGTGTTATGTTTCTGCCTATGTCGCACGTATCATTCAATATATGTCACTTTCTGTCCCCAATTTGTTCCCATTTACATACTATGTAACTAATAAGGTTGTCATTAACTTTTTAAACCGTGTGTGTTCTTACAGGTTTGCAGAGATGCGGGAAGAGCTGCAGGCTACGTTGGACGAACTACCTCCGACCAGACCTTAAGCACGGCCAATTCTCAGATGCAGAAGAACAAACTATCGTCACTCTACACTCTGTTCTTGGAAACCGGTAATTCTTACTTCCCGAATGGAATTTTGAAGTATGTGAGTTTTCAAAGTATTAAAACAACAAACTTGAACTTTTGATGACTCCATTCTTTGACATAAAATGTGAGCAAACAAATATATTCATTTTTTCTTTTAAAGAGAATGCTCGATCACTCTCGTAGAGATACTAAAAAGTGTATACTTACCTGTTATAGATGGTCGGTGATAGCGGCACAGCTGCCGGGGCGAACAGACAACGATGTGAAGAATCACTGGAACACGAAGCTGAGAAAGAAGCTGTCGGGGATGGGAATCGACCCTGTGACGCACAAGCCCTTTTCTCACCTGATAACAGAGATTGCCAACACGCTAGCGCCACCGCAAGTCCCTCATCTGGCGGAGGCGGCGCTGGGGTGCTTCAAGGATGAGATGTTGCACCTTCTAACCAAGAAGCGCATTGGGTTCCAGCTCCACCCGCCCACCGCCGCCGCCCCGCCGGTCAAGCACGGAGACAAAGACGAAACCATTGAGAAGATCAGATACGGGCTGTCGATGGCGATGAAGGAGCCGGCCTCGAATTACAAGCCTTGGGATCTCGCCGGCGGCGAGACTTCCGCCACGATGCCGGATGCCGGCGGTGGTTTTCTGTTGACCGCCGGTCATCACCAGTACGGCGGCCTTCTCATGCAAGACGCCGAGGAGGGGTCGCCCTGGAGCCAGAGCATGTGCACGGGAAGCACGTGCACGCCGGGGGAACATCATATGCGGCTGCCGGAGAAAGCCGTGGACGATGAAAACGGAGCGTGTTCGGATGGCGGAGAGGGGGCGGCAGCAGAAGCGCCGCCGCCTGGAATTTTCCACTCTGACTGTGTGTTGTGGGATATTTCTTCTGAAGATCTCATGAACCGGATGGTTTGAGGAGTGGGATCAGATCAGAAAATAAGCCATTATATTCTTGTAGCAATTTATTTGCTATTCTTCATAAATATCATATTTTCAAATGCTCACTCAATAAATACAAGTCATCAAATGGATGCAGAAATATATGTCCTTACCTTCACGAGCATCATATTTTCCAAATAAAATATATTTGGTGTCAATAGATTGTTGTGATTATGTATTTAGAGCCCGGTTTTATGGCCACTGGATTCCAATGGCCACGGAAGCCACTGCCCTCCTACGGATCTCCGTTCATAAAATTGATGATTCCTATTCCCTTTCTCGGTAAACCCCTCGCCATGTCCCGACCCAAACTAATTACCCCACCTACGTCAATTGCACCTCGTAAGTATAATTGACTTTAAAGTCAAAAATTTTGACTTTATACTTACGAGGTGCAATTGACGTAGGTGGGGTGATTAGTTTGGGTCGGAACTTGGCGGGGGGTTAGGGGGTAGGAATCATCAATTTTATGAACGGAGATTCGTAGGGGGGCAGTGACTTCCGTTGCCACTGGAATCCAGTGGCCATGAAACCGAGCTCATGTATTTATCCCGACTAAAATGGAGATGTGTTTCATTTAAAAAAAATGTGGATATTTCCAGTTTTAGCTTTTCAGAAAATGCAAAAGTTCTTTTTAAGGCTCTTGATGCTTTACTTTGGTTCATGCGGGTGTGAGAACAGAACTATATTGCCTCATAAGCCATGTCCTTAGTCCTTAGGACTCCTCACATAGAGAAATAGTCCTAAGATAATAAAGTCTGGTTACCATTTGCTTTAAAAGGAAAATGGTCTATTAAACTGGTCTTATGAATTTTATAGGGACACGATTCCGAGGACACTTGCCAACGGTGACACTAGCGGTGCCACCGTGTTTTGATTGATGGTTTTTATTCCCTTAACCAATTCCTTAAACCCCCCGCCCAAACCCCGCCTTAAGCTTCTCCCAAAATGTGTGGCTATTATGTAATGCAAGTTTATTTTAAGTTCATATCAGACGAAAAGAACATGATCTTATTACAAGTTTATTGTACTGTGCAGTATTTATAGTTTCTCTTTTTTAATTTATTTTTAGTTCAATTGAATTTCATTTAAATATTTGAGTTAATCACTTTTCAATTAAAAATTTTACTCCTGTTTCGAAATAGATTGTATGGGAGCCCAAATTACAAGATTTTTCAATTCATTTTAATTTAAAAATTTGTGTAAAAATAAAAAATAAAATTTACATATTTAAAAATTATATCAAAATTTATAGTGTAAAATAAAAGATGATAAGAATATTTTATTTTATTAAATAATTAATAAAACCCACAAATAAATAAAAATTATAATGATTTTGGAATAATGTGGTGTATAATCAATTTAGAAATGGAGGAACCATTGGATTAGTGCATGATTAATGCATTATGATATTAGAAGCGGCCCAATTCATGAAACTGGGTTAAGGTCCAATTTAGTCATCCTCTCCATCTTCCCGCTCATTTGGCGCCAACACCGCCGTAAAAAAGTAAAAACCCTTCCGCTGTAACTACCAGAAACGATTCCGACACTAAACCAACGCCATGGAAGCTGAAACGGAGCTTCAATCCACGGAAGAGGACGTGGAAATGGAAGTAGAAGAAGGACCGGTCCCGCCTTCGAAATCCAAGGAACCGCCGCAGATTCACCGCCTGGACGAGTCTGTGGTGAACAGAATCGCCGCAGGAGAGGTCATACAGCGACCGGTATCCGCCGTGAAAGAGCTCGTAGAGAATAGCCTCGACGCCGGTTCCACCTCAGTATCCGTCGTTGTCAAGGACGGCGGCCTCAAACTCATCCAAGTTTCCGATGACGGCCATGGCATTCGTGTATATTTCTAGCCTTCCCTGACATATGGAATTGCATCTTATGTTACTTAGGCCTTTTTTCGGGAACATTATTTTTCAATTACCCTTAGTTTTTCGGATAATTTTTTAGTTTTTTTAGTAGCAGTAACTCTATTAAGCTAAAGCTAAATTTTTAAATCGTTTTAATTTTTTTCAAGTACTATTAACCCTATCATGCTAAAGATAAAAATAATTTTTTATTTTTTAGTTATCTGATAATGGTGTGGATTAAATTTGAAAACGCTTAAGCTATTTTTTTTTAAATTTTTGGATAATTTTCATTTGTCGCTATTAGCTAGATTTTTCAAAAAGCTAAAACTAAACAATTAAACTGCTGCGAAACATGTCCTTAATAGTGAAACCTGTAATCCATTTGAAAGAAGTTGGAGTTTTGGAGATATAGTTACTTTTGGGTTCAGCATCTCTAGTGTGTAATTAAAAGCTTAGAGCTTCCTAAGAAAATAATGTAAAGAAATGTGTTGCTTCTATAAGTTTATGAAAATGACCAGATTTCCCATTTCTGATTATTTAATTTAATGCCTAGTTATTTCTTGTGTCTCTAGAAAGAGGATTTGCCAATATTATGTGAAAGGCATACAACATCCAAATTAAGCAGCTTTGAGGACTTGCAAACAATTACGTCTATGGGTTTCAGAGGGGAGGCCTTGGCTAGCATGACATATGTAGGTCATGTAACAGTCACCACCATCACTAAGGGACAATATCACGGTTACAGGTACTAATGATGTCCATTGCAAATATCTCGAGTTAAGTAACCAGCTAAAGGTTGTATTCAGTAGAAACTTGCTTAAATACCTGATTTTGTTGCTGGAGTCACATCTGTATCTGGAAAGTTTTCTCTTCAAGAATCTGTTGTAAGGACTGCAGCAAGATAGAATCTGGATTTTACCGCAAGTGTTCTTCTTACATGTCCACTGATCTCAGTGATGAATAAAGAACCTTCAGTTCTAATGACAGTAAACAAGCTGTTGTAGCTTTCTCTCTTTTAGCTTTTGCAGTATGCACTATTCATCCACTTATTTAATTTAGCTGCCTTCTAGGGCAACTTATAGAGACGGCATAATGGAAGATGAACCAAAAGCATGCGCAGCGGTAAAGGGTACTCAAATAATGGTACAATTTTGACATTCCCCTCCCAGTTTTTCTATTGGAGTTCAAGTATTGATGACTGACTAGAATTTAGTACTTTTAAGCCTTGTGAATCAATTTTACGGGTTGTATAGATTTAAAGACTTTATGTGCATGTGTTTGTGTCTATACACACACCCACATATACATATACCTACATGCATATATGATATATCTACATACATCCACACACACACACATGAGAACTCATCCTAAAAGACTAGTCTGTTAGGTGAGAGAGTCCATGTAGTCTATAAACCCCTCATCCATTGGCCATACAACCGATGTGGGACAAGTCCCATACCTTGTAACTGGTTTCAGGCCATAACATTTCATCCTCCTCAAGGGCCAAAGTCCTCGTTGGTCATGGATGGTTCCACCAGGCCACCACTCCGAGTTGGATCTGATTCCATTTGGTCATATCGTTAAAGGTCCACCCTTACCCTTAATCAGGAATTGCAGTAAGCCAGTAACACTCTATATTTTACGTGGCTCAACTTAGCCTTGGTCCAACCCTAATGGAATTGCATAGTATGTTGCATTATACATAAATATTTTATATATGCATTTTCATTGTCCTGAATTTTGTTTTGCCTTCAGATTGAAAACTTATTTTATAATATGGCTGCTCGGAGGAAAACTCTTCAGAACTCTGCTGATGATTATCCAAAAATTGTCGACCTCATCAGTAGGTTTGCCATTCATCACACTAGTGTGAGCTTCTCGTGTAGAAAGGTTTGTGTTTTTTATTTGGGGAATTATTGCCGTTTATACATTTTTTTATCCCAGTCTGTTTTTTGTCCAAGCTTGACCATACATCTCCTTGATGCAGCATGGAGCTGCTAGAGCTGATGTTCACTCATCTGTAACACCCTCAAGGCTTGACGCAATACGATCAGTTTATGGTGTATCAGTTTCTCGAAATCTGATCAAAATTAATGTTTCTGATAATGACCCATCAAGTTCAGTCTTTGAGATGGATGGATTAATCTCCAATGCTAATTATATTGCGAAGAAGATAACTATGGTGCTTTTCATCAATGGTATGCCTGCTAACCTAAGATGGCAGAATATGTAGCTTTTGACTTGCTTATTTGGCTGAAATGGTAGGTACCAAACACTTTATCTTTCAGAAAGTTAAGTTGAAGTATCGGTTACACCCAATTAATCCTTACCAAACAGGCCCTCAGTATAAAAAGTCTATTTAAGCTCGCCCCAACCCCCCTAAAGTGAATTTCCAAATGTTTGCCCCCAGCTTATTCATGCATGTGTCTTAGAATGGTTTATGGAGATAATATCAAAACAACTGTTCAAAATCTTAATATGAGCATTTCAAGAATCAGCGAAGTTCTTATTCTTGTAAACAGACCGAAAACAAGCTCATTCAAACTGGTCTAGGAAATTCTCACCTTGTATACAATTGCTGCTTTGATGGTTTACTATAAGTAGGTATTCATATTGCTTACCCCATCTCATGTTAATATGTACTACTATCTTCTTTTTAAACTAAACAATTGTGCAGATTTTTAGCCAAAATGTTTGCATTTTCTTCACATGTTATCTTTGAATTGTTAATTTTCTTTTCCAGACAGACTGGTAGAATGTGGTGCTCTCAAGAGGGCAATTGAAATAGTCTATTCTGCAACATTGCCTAAAGCATCGAAACCATTTGTATATATGTCAGTCACTCTTCCATCAGAGCATGTTGATGTGAATGTACACCCCACAAAAAAAGAGGTATTAGTGATTATAATCATTATACACTTAATTTGCACCAAGTGAGGACAAAGAGAAGGTCTTGGCGTCATTGTGTTTTTGTGTGTTAGTATCAGCGTGGGCATGTAACGCAGGATATCTATCATTATCACAATCTTCTGTAACTTCTAGTGGAATAAACATATAATGTCATTCAATTACATTTCCTTTTTAGTTTTTATTGCGTTCATGGGATTGATTTTGCATTATCAATTCCATATAGAACACGGCTACAATTAATATATGACTATGTTATTGTTTTATGATATTTAGCATGCAAATGGAAATAGCATATGCTGATCATGCTTTCAAATTTCATCTCAGTATTCCTATGTAAGAAGGCTTCAGCATGAAGGACTTCCTACAACCTGTGTGAAAATGTGCCAATATTTTTGTTTTTTTGCATGATTTTATAGTGTTAACTAAAGCAATTGACACTATAAATTTCATGTCATTGACCTCAACAAGATTATAGTCCTAGTGATCATGTCTTTATCTCTAGAACACCTTGAGGACGTGTTCTCTCTCACACCTGTGCCTTTTTGAATGACCTGAAAATTAAGCAAAAAAGTGTTGGCATTAAAAGCCGTTAGTGTTGGTTTGCCCCCGAGGTTTTCCGTTCCAAAGAAGGGGTCGGATAGGGGATCTTCAAAAAGGCTCAACGGCTGATTTTGCTCAAGCAAAGGGTCATATTGTAACTCTTTAGATTCGCGGTAGGCAAACATGGCAAGTACAGATGGGGGCGGTGTTTCGGGCAGCTTGTTGGATGGTATTATTGGGGAAAGAGTGATTCTCTTAGTATTCAAAAAGAATGAATACGAGTTGGCAAAACCATCGTAGGTAACTCTCCGATCATATAACCAGGGCCTCCCGAGAAGAATATGACAAGCTCTCATGGGTATCACATCACACCATACGTCCTCATGAAAGGACTGACCCATGCTAAAGGAAACCAAGCTACGTGTATTCACACGTATCCCTTTGTTAAGATTCAACCATTAAATCTCGTAAGGCTTCGGATGTGGCATCTCCTTTAAATTGAGCTTTTCAACCGCTGTTTTGGAAACCACGTTGGCACTACTCCCGCTATCAATGATCATTGAACACACCTTCTTTTGAACGGTGCAACGAGTACGAAAAATACTCTCTCGGTGTGTGGTATCATCCTGGGCAGCCGCATGACTAATGGTCTTTTGAATGACCAAAAGTTCACCTTCATCGGGACCAACAACTTCTTCTTCGTTCGGCTCTCCTTGAATCCAAAATGGATTCAATTCTTCTTCTTCACATTCAACAATAGCCATGATCTTCTTGTTTGGACAGTCACTAGCAAAGTGACCAGCGCCTTGGCAACGAAAACACTTTGGGACTCGGCTACTTGAGGAACTTGGTTTTGAAAGAGGAGAAGCATTGAGTGAGGAAATAGGGTGCACAGTTTTAGGATTTTGAGGGGAGGGATCTGTGAGATTTTGGGCAGCAAGGGGGGTGGAATTTGATGTACTAGGGTAGGAAGAATTGCCACGGCTCAAAGAAGATTTGCCCTTCTTGAGTTGGGCTTCC